ATATATATATATATTTAATACACATACAATTTCCTTCGTGATTTTTATAATTTGTTTTTTTACTAGAGTGGATCAAATATAAACGAGACATGTTCAAAAATTATTTATTTGATTAACACACGTGAAAACTAATACAAAATTATTTTTCTACGTAACATCCACTAATGTTTACACATTTTTGCCACTACACTGGCAATGTTTTTATCCCTGCCTCATAAAAAGTAGCAGGACGAGTACGAAGTCTATTGCGCACGTCAATCGCGAAGTCTTCCACCTCATCGTCATTGGAAAACCTTTCTCCCGCTTTTTTAAGAGGTTCAAAAAATCATATGTGAGAATGCATATCAAAAATGCGTCTCCTTCTGTTGCATAGCGATCCAAAAGCCTTTGAGAAATTTTAGCCCTTACGGCCTTCTGATCTGCATTCGAAATTTGAAGCACCCATCAGTGATTTTTCGAAATCATAACTCATTCTCGCAATGATTGTTTGCACACTTCCATAAGTATGCTATTATGCCAATCCCTTTACTAATTTTACGAACAGTTATTTGTCAATGGTCTTTAATAAAGTCGCGAATTCGTTGAATGTTCTCAGGCGTAGTGCTCATTCTTGGTCGACACGCATAAGTTTTAGCAATTTCTTCACGACCTTCACAAAAAAACTTAAGTATAAAACATATTATCGAAGTGTCAAGCTATTTGCATACTTGACACTTCGATGATATGTTTTTACCGAACTGTACACGTAATCTGCACAAAAGTTCAGCTGATTTAAATTTTATGTTCGTGCATTAAAAATCTAATAATTATGCGTTGCGCAACCGAGACAGGCACCTTCTGTTCACTTCATTTTTTCACGTTTTTAATTTAATATACGTAGGATCTTAGTCAGCACCATATTGGCGGGGCGATAAACGTTATAAAGCAGTTCAGGAGCAAAGTATACATAGTGTTTGCGTCGCTACGCTTAGAACAAGTTAAAAAGTGAAACAAAATCCAGATCGAAAGCAAAGTGATTCGAACGGATACAGTTCATATTTTGCCGTATATTGTTCGGAGATTCATGCCTTCAAAACTTCGAGATCTAATATCAATCGCAACGCGAGCTTGTTTCGGAATTCGAGTACAGCAACGATTGGGAGATTGCTCCGAAATTCCACTTGATTTAAATCAGTGTCAGTATTCCTGTATATCGTGTCCGATATCATATCATATATAGATATTACATCAATATTATGTCCGACGTTATGCAGACGACAGAAGTGTCTCGGTCAAAAAAGACAGAGTTCTCGTCTAATAATACAAATAAATATTGCGAGAAAAGGTGAGAGCTTGCACATTCAAATTAAGATTAAATTATTGATAAGTAATTAATAAGTAATTAATAGCACATTCAGATTAAAAATTAAGAAGCTTTCTATACAAAATGCAAGGCATAAGTAAAATCATATCGTACACCTTTCCAAAATGTAGGATATTATATACAATATATATATATAAATTGCAATTTTTCACATAATATGTCTTGCTTATATTTGTTTACTCTTACACTCAAATATTAAAATAAACACAATTTCGTAAAATATAACGCAAGATTGTCTGTATTTAAAAAACGATATCCTACCTTAATATAAATCCCTCATTTGTAATTCAATATGAAATCAGTTAGGTCTCTCAAACCTGAAACAAAAAACAAAAATATTAAGACGTTTTTGAAAATATATTATTTCCATGTAAAATGGAGTCACATTTATATAATTCACCTGTTGAAAATACATATATATAATACTAATAAAAAATGTATCAACATCTAAAACCGGAAAAAAAAAGCATATTAGAATTTCTTTAAAAACATCATTTCCATATGCAATTGCATTATATTTACATAATCCATGTATTTAAAGCGCATTTCAAATACGTTGTGAACGATAAATGCAAAAATTTGCAAAACTTAGAATAATTATATATTAAATATGCATTGAAACATCAGACAAATCAACATGGAAGATGCGTTGCCGGAGAAGAAATTTCTAGAGAGGAACTCGCCGCTCACCGATCTCTTTAAGATCACGCATATTCGTACGGTTTATAATCTATTCATGGTGACTGTTATATTGTTTTTCCTCCACACTGCTGTAAATGACATCATAGAGTCTGGAACGTAAGTAAAATCATTAAGTTCGATATCTAACAAAACGAAAAATTATTGCTCCGGAAAATCCATATTTGATATGATTCTAAATATAATAAATTTTGCTTTATATTTTAAATTTTTTCATATTCTTAATCTTAAACTTTTTATACGCATATTATGATGCCGTTCAAAAGCTTGGCATGAATTTAATTTTAATGGCAGATTTTTCGATTAAACGAGAAGCGTTTCTTATTTTTAGCAAAAACTTAAAAATCTCCAAGAAAAAAACTGTTTATCAAAAATTTTAATTCTCAACGGTATATATCTTTTAATCGAAGTGAAAATTGAAAATTTTATCGAAATAATATTATTTTCATTTAATTTAAAAAGATGAAAATAAAGTAAAAAGATGAAAATAAAGTAAGTGTTTAAATATTATTAAAATATGTATGAAAAATTATATTTATTAAAAAGGACAATTTTATTCTTTATATTTCATTATGAAACTTAATATACTTTTCAATCGTGTATAATTTTATTAAATACGCCAAGTTGTATCGATTCCAAATTTATCTAAAAAATGCAGAAATTAAAGTCACGTTTTATGACAAGCTCTATGTATTAAATTAATGATTTTATTTATCGTTTTGAAAAATGTAACCTAAAATAATTGATCAGTTTTTTACCATATAATATGATATTAATAATAGTACAATATAAAAGTATAATAACTAACACAATCTAGAATAATTATAAGAATTATCAAACAATTCCAATTAAAATTATCTTTATAATTTAACTAGTAATATTTTCCATTTTTACAGATCTTATTGCCCGAAAACTATGGGATTACGGTTGGCTGACAATCTTCATAATGTATCAAGTCCTGTTTATAATTTTTCCTAATAGAGCAATAAACAGAGAGAATCTAGGCCTAGCTTGCAATTCAATCATACTTTTGGAACAAGTAATTAAAATTTTAATCTTATTCGAAGTTCTCTCTCCCGTCCCACATAAAATATTTTTGACAATAAAAATAATTCTTTAATTTTACAGAAGATATATTAGAATAATAATAAAAAAGTTGAATATCTTACGCCCAATATATCGTATTAAAAATTATAAATATAATAACAATAATTTAACCTTTCTTCATTTAAACGGACATTTGCTTTTTCAGTTACGTCTGATCATGAAACATCATGCTTTCGTTAGGAGCGTGGCACCCAGATTTTTGTCATACAAACCCCATAGCGATATTTCACCGCCGAGTGTACCTCGATTTTCGCAATACTTGTACTTCCTGTTCGCGCCGACTTTAATATATCGCGATGAATATCCAAGGTAAAAAATTTCTCGATAAATCTCTCTATAAATAAGAAAAAGTCCTTGAAACTTAATCTTTAAGAATCCTCAATCTCTTTCTCTTCAATAATCTAAATTTTTAACTTTGTTATTACATTTTGTAGACACTCCATAATGTTGCTTTTGATGGAGTTGTACTATATTAATATAAAACAAAAAACTTTTAAAGTATTTTGAGATGTATAAAGAATTCTTAATCTTTTCTAATAATTCAAATTTTTAAATCAATTAGAACAAACGATATCTTAATTCAATAATGGGTTGCCATTTCGACATAATATCGTATAATTGAAAAACTCAAGAAAGATTCGCGCGGTTTATTTGTCAGGACAAAAAAGATCAGGTGGTGGTTCGTGATTCAAAATTTCGCCCAAGTCGGCCTAATGATCTTCTATTTCGCCTTTATCCTGGAGCAATTTGTGACGCCGGTCTTTTATACCTTTGGTACACAGCCTTTCGAACCAATGTGGTTCGTCAAGAATATTATCGACGCGAGCATTCCCGGGGTCCTCGTTTTCATCTCCGGGAACTATCTTCTGCTGCACGCGTGGATGAATGCCTTATATATATATATGACTTCACAAAATCAGGACGAGGCAGAATAAGGATATCCATTTAGAATATACACAAAAGAAAAAACATTTCTTGAAATTTCTCTTGCATTTTTCAAATAGAATAGATGGATATCCTTTTGCGTCCTAATTTTATTGAAAATCTTGTTCTAATTTTCCGACAATTTATTCTGTTTTCCATCATTCATATTTTATTGATTCGACGTAGAATAGAGTTTTGGAGAAAGTATTCTTAAAAGTACTATATAAGGGTATGTGGGGAAGGAGAGGAATGTGTCACAATACACTCTTCTTCTCTCCATCTTTATACACAGCCTTTTTAAACATTTTAGCATACACCCTCTTTCTCTTTCTCGTATTAATATAAGAAGTGCATATTGCTGGCATTTTTACTCGCATTAAGGCGGCTACCGGCTTGTTGTATATCCTCGTATCGTATCATGTGTAAATTAATATTAATATTATATGATATTATATTTAATATTTTTTTAAATTAATATTAATATTTTACACAATGATGATACGAAGATACGCAACAAGTTTGTAGGCGCCTTTATAAAACAAAATTTGTATCAATCATAAACAGGATGTCCCTGACATCCTGACATACTTCGGAGAATTTCGAAAAGCAAAATCATCGACTGAAAAATATCTAAACTTAGCATTATCGATATGGATAATGAGGGAGAGGGAAAAGGGGGTCTTGATCTCTGACGTAAGGGGAATGAGTTCAACAAGCCACTGCTTTAGGATTCATTTCAATTAAACTCTACAACATTCGATCAACATATATAGCTATTAACAATTATAATCAGCTTCCTCTCACAAAACACTCGATTTATATAAATTTCATATGTCTACGGGCAAGATTAAAGACCTCGCGTAAAGATTAGAAAGGAAAGGGAAGGGAAGGTCAACTTGGAATCTCCGAAAAGAATCTCCGTTTCTTTCGGGGAATCGAAGGCAATCTATCGATCTGGCAGTGTCGGAGAATCTGTCGAATTGAGACGAGGAAAAAACTGAAAAGTGAATATGTCTTCTCGAAATAGAGTTCGGAAGAAAAAAAGATCCCGGACTGGCGTGCATCTCGAAACAGTCATAGTGATCTCGAGATCCGGTTGCATCAATGGAAAATCATTATTTTCGAGGGAGACATCAACGAATTGGATTTACAAATCGGAGATTTAGCTGGAAATATACACTCATTGGAAACAGAAAACCTGAATAATACTTCTAAATTGGAAGATACGAAAGAATGTCATGGATTTACATATAAGTTATACAATTTTAAGTAAGAGATCTCATCGAAAATCATGGAGAATATATAATCGAAATAATATACCGTGCAAATCAACAAAATTTTCATATCAATAATGATCGAAAATATTTAATTTGAGAATATCATGCGAATTTGGGAAAAAGTTAGAATAGGTAAATCATAGAAAAAAGACACGTCAGAACTGACACATATTGTATGTTATTAACTTCCTAATTCTTGAAAAAAAATTTTCTCGAAAAGAGAATAAAAAAAATTTTTTTTAAATTCAATTTAGAGATATATTTAACTATATATTTAATTCTATATACCTATATATTTGTTTCCCCTCTCGCTTTTCCTATTTATAATTAAATATAATTATTTATAATTAAATATATATATATACATATACATAGTAATGATATATATAATTTAATTATTTATTATTCAGGCGAGGAATAAAGACCTCTCTAGGTAATCTATAATTCATGACAAAATTGAAGACGGAGTTGTATTTAAAATTTAATTCACATGTTTTAATATAAACATATATGTATTTTGATATATATTTTGATTGGTGTATTTTACGTGTGCAATAGTTTTCTATATTACATGACAAAAATAGAATTATAAACAGAATTATACAAATAGAATTCTGTCTTGAATTTTGACATGAATTGTAGATGGTATCAAGAGATGTTAAGAGAAAGAGAGAGAGAGCGTTTACTCACATTCTCATTCTTACAATTTAAGTAATCTTCATTTGCCCATACCGACCAGCGCCTCGTCCATGAGCTCGTCATCGGTGATACAGGGTGATGCGGAGGAATGAGGAGAAGGTGGAATGACGCGGGGACTCGGAGCCGGGCTCTTGACGATGTGCACACTGACGGATGGACTGGCAGCGGGCGGAAAGGGAGCCGGTAACGGCAACGGCGGCGGCGGGGGTGGGGG